TTCCTCATGCCCTCCAATAAGCCATGTAATATAGGCAATCCCTGTCTTTTCCTCATACTGTTACAATTGGCACTCAGCCACGGCAGTGGGAACCTGATAAGGGTCTTAGATGATGGTATGTCACCACTTTATTGAACCATTGCTCTGTAAGATGGAAGTAATTGCTCTTCTTTTAGGCATGGCAAGGAAGACACCAAGCACAGAGTACAGGCATGGAAATGGATGAGAGCAGCTGCTTAGTAGGTGTTACATCAATTATTCTTTCCCAGAGCTTTAGGAGAATGTTCTAGGAATCTGGTGAGACATGTGTCAACCTACGCAGCCTTCTCTAAAAGAAAAGGCATTCTGGCCCACTTTAGTGGTCATCAGCAAATCCAGTTGCCAGGAAATTGATAGAGGCCATAAATATAGGAAGGCAGGATAGGATTAACCAAAAGACAGAACCAGTCTTTTCTGCTTTGCACAAGCAGAAAAGATTCTATCTCCTTATGTAAGGCAACTTGCCACCAAGAAGACACTCACTCACCCAGTATCACCGACCTTGGAATTCTACTATTAGAGAATGAGTCTATCAATCAAGAAGCCTTTTTTTGTTTGTTTGTTATATTTTCCTTGTTCATTTAGCTTCACAAAACTCACAAAAATCCATGAATGGCATAACAATGATTCCCACTCTTTAAATTATCTTATGATCCCTGAACTATAGTGTCTAAGCCTAAGAGGGGGTTTCCCTCCACCCCCAAAAAATGGGGGGGAAAGTGCCACTGGGAAGAGCTGTCATAGTACACATTTTTTCTGCTAAGCGAACATCAAGCAACTCGTTCTGAGTTAGTGCACCCAGTGGTGTCACCTGGGAAGGTTCTCTCTGGTCACACTGAATTTTTTCGTGAAAGCAGTTTCGCTTGAACCTCGTTTTTTGTGATGGCCGATTTAAGAGAACATCTGTTACGATATTGAATACAATTTTAAAGGACAGCACTATGGGGAAAAAAACTCAAGTGTATAAGTGGTTTTCTCATTTCCAAAAAGGTGAATTGTTGATTGATGACAAACCTTGTTCTGGATGTCTGTCAACTTCCCAAATGGATGAAAATGTTGACTCGTAGTGCATTTGGGGTTTATTCCACCAGGTCAGACTGTTAATCAAGCTTTCTATTTAGAGGTTCTGAAAAGATTGCATGCCAGTGTGTGACCAAAAAAATGCCTGATTTGTGGCAGACGGGGGACTCGTTTTGCCACCATGACAGTGCACCTGCTCATGCAGCCATCTCAGTGTACCAGTTTTTGGCAAAAGACATAATGCCTCTCTTGCCCCATGCACCTTACTCACCTGACCTCACTCTGTGTGACTTCTTTTTGTTTCTGCGAATGGAGAGGGACATGCAAGGACAGTGATTTGACAATGTAAAAAAGGTGAAGAATCAGAGGAGGGAGGTGCTGTCAGCCATCCAAATAGATGAGTTTGAAAAATGATTCTAAGAATGGAATCACAGAGTTGACAAAGGTATTAAGTGTAATGGAGAGTACTTTGAAGGTGGTGTTGTTTTGTAAAAAATAAATAAATAAATACATAGATTTTGGGGGGGAAATTCCATTTTAGGGGGTATCCCTTTGTATGTAGATCCAGAAAGAGGAATGAGAATCAAGATCAGTCCAACACTGATTTCTTTGGGGTGGAGATCAGACATCCCTCCACTCTCCAATTTCTCATCATTTCTGATACCAGCACCCCACTGCCCACCCTTTCTACAGTGCTCTCTGCTGGGTTCAATAATTCGGTGCAATGTCCACAGAGAGGTCACAGACCATAGCCATCATTGTGTGGTTTGCTAGTGAAGTAAAGGAACAACTTGGGATCAGGAACAACTCAGAAGTAACAGGATATATCTCAGTGATCAGGACAACTTCCAACCAGGATGACCTCTCAGTCTTGTCCATAAGCAATCTCTTGTCTCAGCTATATCAGCACAGTCCTTCTCTAGGCCTCTGTCCTGCGGGAGCAAGCGTCTCTACAGACAAGGAGGCACCCCAGTGTCACCAAGCACTCAGCTCACTATCTCTGTCCCAGGCCCGCCTCTCTTGCTTCACTTTGTGGGTTGGCAAGTTCAGCCGTCCTGTGGTTCTCACAACTTACAATGCTGCCACGATGTCTGTCTCTGAGTTCTGCTGTGCTGGCTGACATTTTTTGCCATTTCATTCCATCTGCAAAAGGCCGGAGTCTTTGATCCTTATCAGCAAGTGCTTCATGGCCTCTTCCCTTTCAACAAACAAGGTTGTGATATCTGGATGCTGAAAGTTGTTCATGAGTCTTTTCCCAATCCTAGTGCAGTATTCTTCATAGAGTCCAGCTTCTTGGAGTATTTGCTCAGAATTTAGACTGAATTAAGTATGGTGAGAGGATACAACCCCGACACATCTTTCCTGATTTTAAATCATACAATATCCCCTTGTTCTAGTCAATCAATTACCTCTTGGTCTGTGTACGGGTTTCACAGGAGCACAATTAAATATTCTGGAATTCACATTCTTCACAATGTTATCCAGAGTTTGTTATGATCCATACAAGCAAATGTCTTTGCATCCTATTCATATTCTCTGCTTGTAGGTAATATCCCTCTGACATCAGCAATGATATCCCTCAGTCCAAGTCCACTTTTGAACTGGCTTGAATTTCTGGCAGCTCCTTGTTGATGTATTTCCAAAACCATTTTTAAATTATCTTCAGCAAAATTGTACTTGCATGTGATAGTAATTATATTGTTTGATAATTTTCACATTCTACTGGTCATCTTTCTTTGGAATGTGCACAAATACAAATATCTCCTAGTCAGTTGGCCTGGTACCTGTCTCCCAAATTTCTTCGCATAGACTAGTGAGTGCTTCCAGGGCTGCCTCAGTTTGTTGAAATTAGTTAACGGGGCCCATTTTCTCTACCACAGATTGTCAGAGAAAGAGAAAGAGCTGTTAGGGGCATCTGGAGAGTAGTTGGCATTGAAGGATGGAAATGCATAGTCAGAATGAGACAAGATTCTGCCCTCTTACTCTTCCCAAAGGTTGATGGGAAACAGATCAGTAAGTGGACATGTTCAAACTGAAGTGAGGCATATCACAGTGGAGGTTAGATTCAGAAAGAGATTTGGCAGAATGGTGTTCCTAAAAGCAAAAAGAATTTCAGTCGATGGCTGAAAAGCTGAAACTAAACTTTGTCCTGAACTTAGAATCGTTGGTGGCTTGATTTCAGAGCAACACAGGTCCCCCTTTCTCAGCACATCCCCCCCCCCCTTTGTCCCACACAATGCCCCAATTCTATTTCACAGTTGCCATAGAGGCTTGTTACAGGGAGGTAATAAACCACACCAAACTCATTTCCATTTAGTTGATGTCATCTCATAGTGAGCCTTTAGGGCAGAGTAGAACTGTTCCTGCGGGATTCCAAGACTATAACTTTTTAAGGAGTAGAAAGCTGTGTCTTTTTCACAAGGAGAGACTGGTGGTTTAGAACTGCTAACCTTGAGGATTGCAGGCCAATGTGTAACCACCATTCCACCAGGGCTCCATAGGGAAGTAATAGAAATGTTTAATCGAGGGCCTTGAACTTGTTCAAATCTTTACTGGGAATTTACCTTCCCATCCCAGATATACTGTATCAGAATCAGAATCTTCAGTTTTACAAGATCCTCAGGTAATATATATACATATATATATATATATATATATATAGAGAGAGAGAGAGAGAGAGAGAGAGAGAGAGAGAGAGAGATTGTTAAAAATAAGGATTCTGATTCAGCATATCTGGGGTCAGAATACAAATTCTCAGATGAGAATCATACAGAAATGAACTTGTTTGAAACCTTAGTTTAATCTTCATGCAAAAGCAAATCCTGTCATTAGAGCAACCTCATCTTTTCTAGCCAGCCATGGGGGAATGCTAGGGGCTGCAAATCCCAGGCTCCACTTCATTTGGTCATGGGTAGACTTGGCATCCAAGCTGGATCAATTATTATCTTGAGCACAAAACATGGGCTCTCAACCAAGCCACAGTCCTTCCCTGGGATTTTTCTGGATGAAGCTGGTGGAAAAGAGACCGCTTTCTCAGTTGATTAATAGACAACAAAGTAGAGATCCCTAGAATCAGCTGCTATAGCTGTGTTTCCAGCCACCTTAAGAATACAAATTTTACATTGGAACCCAATGTGCAGAGACACAAAACAAAGACCAAAAGAAAATTTCAACATCATCAACCCCTGGTTCCCATCTTCTCTCGGGCAAGCTTTATTCCTGCCCTTCCTGGATATGTGAATGATACAATTTGTGTTTTTGTCACTTGCCAACAATAAGATCTTGAACTAAAAGTAACAAATCCTCCTGGGAGAGGCGGTCTCTCACCCTGCCCGCCCTCCCCTTGTCTGGACTCCGCCCCCGGCTCCGACTCCGCCCAGCCCCACAGGCTGCAGTGCCACCTCCGGCCTCCTGGGGCCGCCACGCGAAGGTGGCTACACCCTGCGCGCGCGGCGGGCCCTCTCTATTGCCTCGGCTCCGGCCGCTCGCCGTCAGGCTGCGGCTCCCGAGCTCCGGCCAGGTCTTGCGCACGGTCTTCTCCCGAGAGGTCTCGCGCCGCCCGGCGCGCGCCGCCTCCCTGCCTCGCGGCGCAGGGCCTCGCGGGCTCCGCTCCCGCCCTCCGCTCGCCTGGCCCGGACCGGAAGCGGCGCCGCACGGCCTGGGCCTGGCGCGGGGGGCGGGCACCGGGGCCCGGTCGGACATGGGCAAGAAGCACAAAAAGCACAAGTCCGACAAACATCTCTACGAAGGTAAGGAGCGGACGGGGCCGGTGAGCTTGCGAGCCCGGGACTTGCTCTGAGGATTTCAGACGCTCGAGCCTGAGTAGACGGAGCCGCGGCCGTGGACCGGGGGACAGGGCGGGTCTGCGAATGGGGCGCGGCGAGCCAGAGGCCGCGCACTCCCTGGCGGGATTGGAACCCGGACTCACCTGGCTCCAGGTGGAGCCCGCTCGGGAGATGTGGGGCGGGCGGAAAAGCCCGCGGTCGTTGGCGGATGGCTGCGCCGCCAGGCACTTGGCAAAGGTCGCTCATTCAACAGGTGCGTCTCCGAGAGTATCTACTGCGGGCCCCGAGCGCCAGTCCCCCCTCTCCGCTCCCCGGCACCCCGCGTTGTCGTTACGGATGGCGAGTCCTTCCTTTAATCGAGGCTCCTTCCTTTTGTTTAAGACTATGTAGAGAAGCCCTTGAAGTTGGTCCTCAAAGTGGGAGGGAACGAAGTCACCGAACTGTCCACGGGCAGCTCAGGGCACGACTCAAGCCTCTTCGAAGACAGAAGCGATCACGACAAACACAAGGACAGAAAGCGGAAAAAGCGCAAGAAAGGAGAGAAGCCGCTTCCTGGGGAAGAGAAAGGGAGAAAACGGAGGCGAGTAAAGGTAAATAAAGGTGGTTTGATTGCTCCCAGCTTTGCCAATCGCACCCTTTTTCTAAGTAGTCCAGCCTCCCGCTACCACCACCCTTTTCCTTTGTGTCCGGGGAGACGCTTGATTGAGGCATGGCAAAGCAGACCAGAAACGTGACTCGTCTAAGACTTTCAGGACACCTTTATTTTTAGTTTACTCGTTGGCAGTTGTACTCACACATCAGGTTGAGTTCAGGTGGCTAAATCTTGATTTTTCAGGAGGTGCTTCAAAGAATGTGTCTTCATCTAAGAAAGGTCAGCCCAGGAAAACCAAGTATACCAAGCTTATCAAAAACAGTTATTTCAAAAAGCAGTGGGCTCTATGGGGTTCAAGTTTTGTTCTGAAGTAAATAGTGTGATGGTAAATGTATGGTGAAAAATTTTCACATTGTAAACTAAAGTTTTAGTCTTGGCGGAAAACATTTTATCAGAAACGTTCAAAAATAGAATGCCAGTAACAGCATTTTCTGATCCACTTGTGTTTAGTGGAAACGAATAGGTAACTGCTGTATCTCTTTACAAACTGGAGGAGAAAGACAAAGCAAAACTTTCCTTCTAAGGAATGATTATATGCATACTACAAAACCATATACATGCTACAGATGTCACCCTAGTCATTTGGGTGCCCATTAAGCCAATTATTTTATCTTGAAGATTGATTTTTCCATAATTAGTCTTATAATTTTTCTTGTGTTTACATATACAACAGAAATTAATTCCACGTGGTTAAATTCATTTTTAAGTCACCACATCTCAAGGGGTTTTTCTTTGGATTGAAGCTTATTTATTTGAAGGTTTCTGAAGTTTCTTCCTCCCTTTCTTCCCAAGCATTTTGCATTTGGCTAGACTAACAACAGGTGTTTCTCTTTCTTGACTAAATTATGAAAGCTATAGATGCAGGTGGGCTTTTAAAAAAATCAAATAGTAGGGAAGCAAAATGAAAAATACATTTTTCACCCCTGTTTTCATATAGTCTCTCTGTCCAGTAGTATCCAGTTTGTTGTTAATTTTATACATAGTAATTAACAACATCCTCTTAAGTTATAGAGGACTATCAAAGCTGCCTCCTGTACCACCCTGTAGTTCAAGTGCAAGCTTTCTAGTTTTTTCTTCTGATACTTATCTCTTTTTCTAAATGTAAGATTATAGGTTTTTGTGCTTTATTAGTTTTGTTCAGCTACTGGCATGTTATAGAAGATGAGAATTTAAATGAACATTCTTAGCACTGCTAACTAACTAACCCACTGCCCTCTAGAAATCCTAGGAAACAATGTAGAATTGCTCCATTGAGTTTCCAAGACTGAATTTTTTGAAAGCAGACAGCTCGTGTTTCTCTCAGAGTGATTTGAGTTCGAAACACTGACCGTGTGGCTAGCAGCCTGACATAACCACAATGCCGCCTACTACTATAAACCTGTAATTTCCCATCCTTCATTTTTTCACTGTAGTTGGTTAAGTCAATATACAGTTTGTTTTTTTATTATTCACTGTGGTGACAAATACAATAAATAAATGCAGATCTGATCATGGCCAATGAGGTAAAGTAAATGCTTTCATTCATTTAGTTAGTTCACAAACTAACATGAAATCCAGCTGAATTCTTCACTTAGTAAACCACATCACCTCCTCTATTTTTTCTTTAAAGACATCCATCTTGTAGCCTCTCCTCACTAGACCAGTAGGACTCTCTGGCCGTACTCTATATATTTTTTCTCTGCCTACTCCTTGGATTTCTTGTCTTTTCTAGTTTTAAATTTATTTGTTCTTGTGGAGTCCACACTCTAGAAATGGCCTCAGAAAGCATACAGCAGAGGTAGGCTTTTGTAAATTCGTTCTCGTTTGGAAATCTTAATTCTACCCCATTGTCTGACTGATACGAGGCCTGGTGGTGGTGTCCTTACGAGTTTGGCTGCTGATCACAAGGTCAGCAGCTAGAACCACCTGCCACTCCTCAAGAGAAAGAAGAGGCTTTCCACCTCCTGTAAGGAGTTAGTCTCACCCCCAGCCTGAGACAGAGCCAAGACTCAGCAGCCTCCCCCTTGAGCCTCCTCGCTTCTCAATGCTTTGATACCACCCCCACCACCCCCCGCCCCCCCACCTTCTCCCAGTACAGCCTTCCACAGGCTGTTTCCCCTGAGGAAAAGGAATTGTATATCCATTATCCAGAACTTTCACTCTTTTGACCCCTTTGCTGATACAAGTAAGGGTGAAGACAGAAATTAATTCCTCATGGTTAAATTCATTTTTAAGTCACCACATCTCAAGGGGTTTTTCTTTGGATTGAAGTTTATTTATTTGAAGGTTTCATGATAAAAAGAAAGTAGTGAAGGTGTTTAAGGAGAAATTTGCCTGCAGTGGTACTGTGAGTATCCGGAATATAGAGAAGGGATTCAGCTACAGGGTCACCAGCGCAAGAACATATGCCAGTCCTTATCGAGATTGGACTGGCTAAGGACCATCAGCTGAAGGTTCAGAGAGGGTTTTTTTTAATGGTTATGGCTCACGGAAGCTTCGGTGGGGATTTTCTTGAAATGAGTAGAAAAATTCCCTCTGTCCTTTGTCACAACTTTAAAACCTCACAGCTTGTATGTAACTATTTAAGGTCCACGTTTAACTTGGACTAGTGTAACTCTTTCATGCAATAAACTGAAAAGAGGGGGAAAAAAACTTAGTTTCAGAAACTCAAGAGGCAGTTCCATCCCTGACCTACAAGGTTGCTTTGAGTCAGAATCAACTCAATGACAGTGAGTTTTGGTTTTATTTTTTTTATCAGACTGATCGCTTGATTTTTAATGGCATATTGTATATTAAAAACTTTACAGAATTCTGAAGTAATTACTCTATTGTCTTTTGGTTTTCAGTTTTGCTGTTGAGAAGTATTGTTCTTATTCTTAGTCATTTTTATGCAGCCGTTAACATTCACTCATTTTTTAAATCCTGTGCTCTTAACGCGTACCTTCAGTCTTGATATGTGTACTTCATAATTACCTGTGATAATCTTCTCCCCTCTGTTTTCTCCCTTCTCTCTGGTGCCATTTGATGTTGATTCCTGGACTAATTTCTTATTTCCCTGTTTCTGTGTGTTCTGTCTTCAGAGAAACTCAAATTCACTGCCATGGAATCAATTCTGACTCAAAGCAGCCCTATAGGGCAAGGTAGAACTGGTCCAGTGGGTTTCCAAGACCATAAATCTGTATGGGCGTAGAAAGTCTCATCATTCTCCCTTGGAGCAGCTGCTGATTTCAAACTGCTGACATTGTGGTTATCAACTCAATTCAGAACCCACTGAGCAACCAGAGCTCCTATCTTCAAGAAGAGTTCTGGAATTTTAGCTTTTTACTCTAATATTGAATTTCATTTCAGATCTCATTCTTAATCTACTAGTGCCATTCTTCTTTTAAATGCAATGTTTTATTTCTGAGTATATTAATTGAAGGTTTTTTCCCTTTTACTTTGTTTTGTTGATTTCTTTTGCCCCTTGTATTTCCCCCAAGTTCAGTTTATTAGCTTGATCTCTTTTATATGTTGCAAGCATTGTGATGCTGGATAAGAATATTGAAAGTACCAAATCCACAGTGCCACAAGAACAAACAAAAATCTGTCTTGGAAGAAGTATAGCCAGAATGTTCCTTAGAGGCAAGAATGGCGAGACTGTCCTATACATATATCTTGGACGTGCTGTCAGGAGAGACCAGTCCCTGGAGAAGGACATCATGCTTGGTAAAGTAGAGGGGCAGTGAACAAGAGGAAGGCCCTCGACAAGCTGGACTCACAGTGGCTGCCACAACTACATAGGAACAGTTGTGGAGGTGGCCCAGGAGCGGGCAGTGTTGTGTTGTGCACAGGGTTGCTATAGGTTGCAAAGAATTCACTGGCACCAAACAACACATATCCAAAGGTATGCCACTCTGCTATAAACTTTAGCACCAAAACACTCAAGTCTAGCCCCTTGAGGTAGCAAACCTAGCCTCCGAATTAAGTGGCTAGAGGCACCCTACCCCACAAGGTGCCTCCTGCCTCGTGGCACTCAGCTTTTATTTACTCTGGACAGAGAAGCCAACCTCTGTCTCATCCTCTTGGTTGTGTTTCTTTCAGTCTTCTGCCAATTCCTCTAGTGTCAAAGCTGTCTCCTGGATCAAGTATGTTCAACACACGGATTCACGGTGCAAAGGAGGATGTGCTCTCTGACTGGTAGTGAGAGCCCCCTTCCTGCTTCTTAAATGGCACCTTTTATACCCAGCAGAATGGACAATTCATTAACCCTGTTAACAAATGCAACTAAATCGTATTCTCTTTTTCTTGCCTTCTCACCCAAACCTATAAGAAAGAAGGTCTATGGCTAGATGAGCCATATTAAGTAATTCATTAACTACAGATCTGTTTGTATTTAAACGTGCAACACAACAAAAGTTGATTAATGTTTAAAGCTCTGTGAGTAGACAAACGTGTTCTTATGGATACTACTATAGGGTAAATAGGAGCTTGGTCATTTTGATAGGGAGCCCACATATTCTGTACCTCAAGATATTTTCTGAGTTCTTTATTTTCCCCAGAAAAGAAATTTTTACCTCCTGGGAAAAGATGTTTGCCTGATGGCCAGTATTTTTGGAGCCAAATGATGAAGGGATTGGAGGGCTGAAGCTCTTCCCATCTAATCCTCTATCTCAGTGGTTCTCAACCTTCTTAATGTTGCAACCCTTTAATATAGTTCCTCATGTGGTGGTGAGCCCCCGATCATAAAATTATTTTCATTGCTACTTCATAACTAATTTTGATACTGTTCTGAATCGGCAACCCCTGTGAAAGGATCGTTCGACCTCCAAAAGGGTTGTGACCCACTGGTTGAGAACCGCTGCTCTACCTCATTTTAGCTTTTTTCTCCCTCGAGTGATCTTTGAGCCTGAAGCCTGTCTAGTTCCTTATGTCCTCATGTTCTGAGCTTTTCCAGGGTTCTGGGATTTGAACAGATATCTC